AGATGGATCCTCCTCCGGGATTGCAGCCTTTCATCTCGATGGACGGGTTTCTAGAGTCCAAACAGAATTTTCCTCGGCACAGTTGGTGGAGTTGGTTGCAGTTATTCAGGTCTTTAAGGCTCTCCCAGACCGTGCCTTTAACCTGTTTACTGATAGTGCATATGTGGCTCAGTCAGTGCCCCTATTGGAAACTGTTCCTTTTATTAGGCCATCCACCAATGCCTCCCCACTTTTTTCTGAGCTACAGAGGCTAATCCTGGCCAGATCACACCCGTTCTTTGTGGGACACATACGTGCCCACTCTGGCCTCCCTGGACCCCTTAGTGGGGGTAATGACCTTGTCGATAGGGCCACCAGGGACTCTCAAACACCTCTGGTGACGCTGGCCACACTCCCTGATGCCGTCCAGAGGGCACAGGAGGCTCATCGACTCCACCACCTGAATGCCCAGACCCTCCGGCGGCTGTTCTCCATCACCAGAGAGCAAGCACGCCAGGTTGTCCGCCAGTGTCCAGGCTGTCTTACCCTCCTGCCTGAGCCCCATTTGGGGGTGAACCCCCGAGGTCTTACTCCAGGGGATTTGTGGCAAATGGATGTTACCCATTTTGCCCCCTTTGGTAAACTTAAATACATTCATGTCTCCATTGACACCTTCAGTGGCTTTCTCTGTGCTTCACTACAGGCTGGAGAGGCCACCAAACATGTTGTTAATCATTTGATCTCCTGCCTTGCCTATGTAACCTTGCCCAAGGTTCTTAAGACTGACAACGGCTCTGGATACACGAGCACTGACTTTAAACAGTTTTGTGCTCAGCTCAACATTAAACATATCACAGGCATTCCCTATAACCCTCAGGGACAGGGAATTGTTGAAAGGGCACATCAGTCTCTAAAAAACATGCTCTTAAAGTTGCAACATTCAGGGGGCATTCTCTACCCCCAAAAGGGAAATTGTAAGGCGTTACTAAACCATGCCTTGTTTGTCCTCAATTTCCTAACCCTCGATGAGAGGGGCAGATCTGCTGCAGACAGGTTCTGGCACCCTTCCACAGCGGAGTCCTATGCCAGGGCCTTGTGGAAGGATCCACTTACACATAGGTGGAATGGCCCCGACCCAGTCCTGATCTGGGAGAAGGGACATGCGTGCATCTATGACTCCAAAGAACAGAGTGCACGCTGGCTACCAGACAGACTGATAAAAATAATGGACTCTTCTCCTAAAAATTGTGACCCCCTTCCAGGGAACCCCCCTGAGAACGCCTAAATGTGCTCTCTTGCAGGAGCCCCAAGGATGCTGCTATCCACCTCGCTCCTGGCGACTTGGACCTTGGTTGCTACAGCCATCAACCTGCCTCACAATCCTTATATGGTGTACAACTTCACTTGGGTGATCATCAATCAAGCCGGAGACATGGTCAACTCCAGCTCCTCCCTTGGTACCTCTCCCCATTGGCCCGTCCTCCACATCGACCTTTGTGCTCTGGCTGTGGGGGCTGATCCATATTGGGGGCTGGAAGACCAGGTCTGGCCCCTGGAGGGGGCCCCCAATCTTCCTGAGCGAGACACAACAAAATTCGAACCCTGTCGTTCGGCCCCAGGGCGCTCTACCCTCCACAACTTTCTTAGAAGGGGAATTTATGTTTGCCCTGGTCCCCGTCACCGCCCTCATGGCACAGGCTATCGGTGTGGAGGGGTTGCAGACTTTTTTTTGCGCTTCGTGGGGATGTGAAACCACGGGAGACACATACTGGAAGCCTTCATCCTCCTGGGACTATATCACTGTCAACCGCTCTGCCATGCCCGGTAACCCCTACATGCTTTGCCGTGGCTGGTGCAACCCCATATCCATTTTCTTCACCTCATCGGGCCAGTCCCAAGATTGGACAGGCTCGGGGTACACCTGGGGTCTCCGCGCCTACTTTAAGAGCTGGAATCCAGGACTCCTCTTTACCATTAAGCTCCTTAAAGAAATCCCCAACAAACATCAGGCTGCTCTAGGCCCAAATCCTGCCCTGCGGCAGCCCGCTCCTCCTCCCGCTCGACGCCCTACCAGTCCCCTCCTCCTTCCCCATGCCTCAGCTGTCCCTCTGGTCACTCTTTTTCAGCCCACCATTCCCGGGGGACCCCCTCGCTCTGCAGACCTTATTGTCTCTCTGGCCAATGCTTCCCTTGAAGCCATGCGCGTGGCTAATTCTTCTGCTTTTCCTGAGTGTTGGATGTGTTTTGACCCTACCCCACCATTTTATGAAGGCATTGCGACCTTCGCAGACCCCCAGTTTACCAACAACTCCTTAACCCTCCTTCCCCTCCCAAACCCTGAGGGTGGATTGACCCTAGCCTCTATCTCTGGCATGGGCACCTGCCTGCTTGGGCCCAAGATGCTTCCCCCTAGAGATCTTTTCCCTGTTTGCAATCAGACTCTCACTATCAATACAACCTACCTGTATGTGGTTGCGCCTAATAATACCCTCTTTGCCTGCTCAAATGGACTGACTGCTTACATCTCCACCTCCAGATTCCTTTCCCATGATTATTGTGTTGTTGTTACCGTCCTCCCTCAATTTTTTGTTTATGAGCCCGAGTCCTTCCTACGCTTCTTTGAATCCGGGGTCCCACACAGAGACAAGAGAGAGCCTCTGACTGCGCTCACCCTCTCAGTCATCCTGGGTCTGGGTGCAGTCGGGGCAGGAACGGGTATTGCGTCCCTTGTAAGGAATGACCAAAATTTTGCCCACCTCCAGTCTTTAATTGATCAGGACCTTGGTCACCTGAGAGAGGGCATCCAAGACCTCACTGAGTCAGTGGCCTCCCTTTCCGAGGTGGTCCTCCAAAACCGACGAGGACTTGACCTACTCTTTTTGAAGGAGGGGGGATTGTGTGTGGCCCTTAGAGAAGAGTGTTGCTTTTACTCAGATAAGACAGGTTTGGTGAAAAACAGTTTAGAGAAAGTTAAAAAGAGCCTTGAAGAGAGAAAGAGAGCAAGAGAACAACAAGAATCTTGGTACAAAAATTGGTTTTCTACCTCCCCTTGGCTTACTACCCTGCTGCCCACTATATTGGGGCCCCTTGTTGGTATTCTTTTGCTTCTCTCCTTTGGCCCTTGGGCTTTTAATCGCCTCACAAGTTTTGTTAAAAACCAGATAGATTCCACAGTTAAAAGACCAGTTGAAGTCTACTACCATCAGCTAAAAGCAGAGGACGACACCGAGGCTGTCGCCCATGTGGTGGTGACACAACCTGAAGATGAAGATGTGGGGCCCGCGCGCTCCTCCCTTGGCCGGCCTCTTAACTTTCAGGCCCTACAGGGGAGCTCCTGGCTCTCTTGGCTGACCTTCCGTATCCCTAGATAATTGAAGACAGGCGTCTCTACCCCACCTCGTTTAATTGGCTTGCCCTTGTTATTGCTTGAAAGAACCTCCCAATAGCTGCCTCGACAGCTGCATCCCGGCCTTGGCCTAGCTACATCCCAGCCTTGGCCTAACTGCAAGCCTGGCACTAAACAGGACGCGACCTCATAGCCCCTGCACCCTGAGGACTTGCTTCCATTGCACCAGGAGTGGGTATGAGGATCGCAAGGGGACCAGCTCTTGCACCTCACGGGCCTTAGCTGCCATTGCACGTGAGAGAGTGGTCTCCCCTTCTCCTTCATGACCACGAACTTGGTCTTGACAGACAGCCAAGACTGTCTACCAACGGTGCCTCTCAATGGCCTTGCTGCCCTTCTGGGACCGCGAGCTGCCTACGGCCGGGATGCCCTCCCAAATTCGCCCATCCTTGAGTTTCTTCCTCTAAAAGACGCCCTCTTTAGTTTACAGGGAAGGGGGAGATGTCAGAGACCAGGACCCCTAACAGGGACCCCTGCCAGCCTTCCCCCTCGCCTGGAAACCGAAGCCTTGTCACCCACCTACATCCTGTTCAGTTGAATACCTTGACTATGCCTCATCCTGCTGAAAGCTGATGCACAAAGAGATAGCTACTTCTGAGAAAAGCCCCTAACCACAAAATGTTCTAGGGCACAGGCCAAGAAGAAGCTGTACCTTTCCATGACCCCACCTGCCTTCCCCCTCCCCTAACCTGAGCTTGTTATAAAAAGCTTGCCTTTTTTAAAATACACGGCTCTTGACAAGCAACCGTTTGCTTGGGTCCTTCCTTTCTCTCGCCCGTTTCTCTTCCAGGTTTTGGTTCCCCTCGCCCCCACGAATAACCGAGACTCGCAGGCCGGGACAACCTCAATGGTGGGGGGAGGGTTGGCAAAGAGGCAAGACAGCCTGCAGCCTTCAGGGTCTGAGGGTCCCTTGTATCACAAAGCTAAAGCTCTTGCTAGAGCCTCAGCTGACAGGGTTGGCTATCCTCCCCCTCTGTTGTGTCAGTCAGCATGTGCTCTAGGAAAGAAGGACAATGTGCCTCCTGGGTTTGAGTTGGGTGAGCTATAGAGGTGTCTCCTTGAGAAGGATGGAGTGGGTTCTTCTCTTCCCTTTGAAGCAACAGGACTTCTGGAAAAGTGTCCTGTTTATGCCATGGAAAGAGAGAGAAGAGTTTTGGGGGCAGCCTAAAAAAGAAAGAAAGAAAGAAAGAAAGAAAGAAAGAAAGAAAGAAAGAAAGAAAAAGGACACTGTGCTGCTTCCTGAGAGTCCCATGAACGGCCTATAAGGAAGATTTTCAATGACCAGGGTTGAAATAAAACCCTCACTCTGGCCAGAATCAGCCCTGTCTGGATAAAGACTCTCTCTAGGGTCTTGCCCTGCCTCTCTCCTATATTTTTGGTCCTACATAGTAGGAGAAGAGGTGAGCTCAGCATGACAGGTAAACAAAAAAGAATATATGGATCAATGAAAACCCACTATGCAACTTGCAAAGGTCTTGTAATATAAACTGCCTGCCTGTGGTAGTCCAGCAATATCATCTCATACAAGAAGACCTTGTTGTTCAGATTAAAGGACATTTCCTTGAAAGCTTACACACATATTTTACTAAATAAAAAGGCACATGAAACAAATATATTGAAAATTCATATTGTTATTGAAACACAAGTGCTTCGGAGACAAAAGTACAATAACATATTGTTAGTAGCAGAAAAAAATTTTCATCTCTATCTGGTGCCTGGGCTAGAGTGACACTCCAGGGCTCCTCCACAGACTTCAGGGAAAGATGTTCTGGAAAGGAGGAGAACTTCTGAGACCTCACAGCCTCTTATAGCGACTGTATTGTTCTCTCCTCTTCCAAAACCATCTCTACAATGAGTGAGAAAAAGGAATTAGTTCAGTGTAGTAAACTTTTAGGACCATAATTGCAAAAACATATCATGTAAATTTGTATATCAGTGTTACATTATACTGAATAGATGAACCTGGTTTCTTACTCTTCTAATTCTATGTGGGGCCGAGGGGCTGAGTGAGGGGCCGAGTGAGAGGCTGACAGGCCGAGCGAGGGGCCGAGTGAGAGGCCGAGTGAGAGGCTGAGAGGCTGAGTGAGAGGCCGAGTGAGAGGCTGAGAGGCTGAGTGAGGGGCCGAGCGAGAGGCTGAGGGGCCGAGTGAGAGGCTGAGAGGC